CAGGTTTTACTGCAGTTGCAGAACAGACAGCAGTAGTTACCAAAGATGAGTAGGGTTTTAAAAGCAATGTTTAGCTTTTGAAGGTCACACAGAGAGTGAAAAGCAACCTTTTGCTTCAGCCCTTTCCTAGCCCTAATGCAGGTGTAGGCAGTAAGTGTAGAGTGGCACCTTCAAAGGAGCACTCTTCTGCAAGGTCACAGCCAACAGCGCTGGCAAGCGTGGCAAGGACCTGCCTCAAATAGAAGCTGTTTGCTTCTTCTTATCTCTGCAGTGCATCACACGCACTGTTATTGTTCATAAACCTGGAATTAATCTATGTGAACATTCTTCTGAATCTTCTTTCTTTGCTCCCCTCATAATTTCTCTAACTGAGAGTCTTTTGCACGTAATAATGAACAAAAGAAACCTTTGAAGTGTTGGCTTAATCTAGAAGTCTAGTGGCACTACTCTGGCAAACAAAAGAGTTTTGTCCTCCAAAATTACACTTTTTGGTTGAGATAATGTTTTGAGTATTTCTCTGAGGCACTTCACGTGTTTAACATCTATTTATTAACTTATGCTTGCATTTCCCTGGGACATCCTCAAATACATAGCATTCCCCTATAGATGAAGTCACTGAGTTTCAAAGAGATGAAGACTCAAATTTTGAAAAGCACAAGAAGCTTTGTGTACTTTGTTCTTCCACCACCTGGCTAAAGCAAAGCCCAAACACCAGTCTCCATACGTTGAGTCTGTATTAGCTGCAAATGCCAGCTGCTGCTGGAAGTCAGCTCCCAGCTGTGAATAAAGTAGTTGAGAGTCAATCCATTGGAATTGCATTTTCAAGACAGAGTGTCTTATTGGAAGTGTGTGGTCAGCAAATGTTTGAGCATGGCAAAGGCAGAAGGAAGGTCATCCTAGCACATTTTAAGCTTCTTGTGATGTTCCAGACCACTCCAGCCTTACTCCTAAATAATGATCTAACTAGAATGACCGGTCATCACACAGCCCTGCTCCGATCTATCCTGTTAACTCTGTCAGATGATAAAATAGCACAAAGAGTTCTTTGTTTACAAAGCACTATTGCTGAGGTAATTAGATGCAAAATAAGTGTCCCAGTATTGCTGTTGTACACATTTCCTGTAGTTTTAGAGTAGATATCTCTGAAAACATCTTCTGTCCTTCCACATAGCAAACAAATACTGCATTCAAGCTTTTCTTCATGCTACAAGTCCCTGTATGCATTTGTAAATCAGGTGCAATTTTATGACCAGTCAGTCAGGCTCCTTGGTGCTGTCCTAATCAGGAATATTTTGTATAATATGTGTGATGATAGCCAAGCAGTTCCCCCCTCCTGCCCTTTTCACCCATGTGCTCTCTCATGCTAAAGAAGCTGTACATGCAATAGCTTGAATTCCTTGATAAACTTGCAACATCAGGAGACATCAAAGACGTTCAGCCCTGTTCATCAGCAAGTCCTAATTGATATCTTGAGCAAGGTTAGGAGACTGCTAAAATAAACCTATACAGTGACCTATTAATCAGCTGCACTCAGGAACTTCCATGTATTTTACAGGAGGAATTTGTTTAAGGTATGCTCTGATCTAAGAGAATACATAAAGCCTTAAGAGATGACATCCTATATATTTTTAAAAGCTCCCTGATTTTATATGAACACTTGAGATATGGTAATCTGTGAATTTATTCAGATTTGTAGCGCAGCATAAAGCTGTCTGGTTTTTGGACAGCCCTTTTGATTTACCGTCCTGTGGTGAAATCGCTGCAGGAAGCTGGAGAAGGTCCAATTCTATTTGTTTAAAGTCCTGATCATGTGGCTTTGGCATTCCTAACATATCCAGCAATCATTTGCTTTTAATTACCGTTCATTTCAACCACATAAGTAATGAATGTGGCTACCACATCCAACTTACAGGCTGTGTAAACTCCTGAGCTGGGTGGAACTTTCTTCTATATAGAGGCTTAACTATACATTTAACTCAAAATGTGAATCCTCTTAACTTATTTTAGCCAGGCCTTTATAAGTTTAAAATAAAAATAAATAAAAAGGAAATGAAAAAAGCCTTAAATGAAAGATTCCACACAATACACCTGATTCACTTCAGAAGCAATTTCCTGGCCTCCTCAACCTCTTGGTATGACTGTAGAAACCTTAAAAAAACAACTTGATTTAATGTTTCTATTTATTCATGGTGTCCAGTTTCCAGAGGAGTCTGTGACTTGTAGTTTTAAACTCAATTTAGCATTTAAACTCATTTTCAGCTGGGTCCCAGTGGAGCAAAAATTAGAAAAGGAAAAGAGTTCAAAGAAGAAGGGTTATAACCTTTCAGCGGCACGTTTGCCTGGACTTTAAAAAAAAATAAAAAGCATCTCTGTTACTATTCTTCCTACATTTGGCAAACACTAGGTCAGACAGACGGGTTGTGAACCTGTTGGTACAGAGAACTTCACGGTTGGGTACAAACCAACAGCCAGAAGTCTTTCATGGCAGCTGAGGCAAAGGTTCATTTTTTAGGGGTGCTGTTATTTGTATCACGCTGACAGTTTAGTATCAGCAGGCCCAACTTCTCTTGAGAAAAAAGAAATCTCACATCAAATCCGAGCAAGAGGAACCTACCAAAAAACACAAAGAGAAGCTGCATTGTTGCACACTTGAAACTTGTGTTAAACCTACACATCTTTTGCAGTTGAAGGCTCCAGCAGAGATGGCTGTCCCAGCAATCCACATGCTGTATGTAGACATTGTGGGAGCCACGTGGGCCTTGCAGGAAATGGTTGGAGAAGAAACAAAGGTATCGCAGCTCTCCAGAACTCATAACTGGCCAAACTGGGAGTTCAAGCAGTGGCCTGCAAGGCAGGACCTGGCGCCCTCATTTATTAAGCTACAGCGGCTTCATCACAGAGAGCTGGAATCTGTATGTCTTTTGGTGTACTCAGGGTTAACCTGTGCTTTCTATAGTAACAGCACTTTGTAGCCAACAGCACTCTTATGAATGTGCTCCCAGTGTCATAAATTCAGCCTGGAGATTCAGCCTCTGCCAAGACCTGGCTACCAAAAATCTTACTTGGAAGCACTGTACTTCATGAATACCAATGGATAACCAGTTGGCTTGTTTGCTTTTCCTCTCTCCCAGTTCTTGTAAGCATATGATACGGAAGCCTTCTCTGGGATCCACACCACAGGCTCTTTCTGATTGGAGCAATCTGATCCCTTAAATTTGAGCATTATATTTTAGAGGCAGGATATTTTAGAGGGAAAAAGTGATGTTACAGTAGCAGAAGAGACCAGCAGGAAAATAATTACCAGTGTGTCCTAAATTAACAGCAGATCTGGACAAAAATCTTATTTTTATAAAGCTAGTTGACAGGACACCTGATCATTCTGACTGTAATGAAATTACTACAAGGTGGAAGTGTAAGCGTTTACTATATTGTGTATCAGCCCATAACAAGACGACTAGATTTAACCAGAAAAAATAATCAGCTAGAGTAAATTAAATAAAGATTTTGTCTCTGTTTCATGTGGTCAGAAGAAGATCTACCATATTTTCTAGAAGAGATACAACAGATAGGTTGTCAGATAATTTGTACCTACCGATACCTGCGATGAAGAGATTTAGGTAAGAAACCTCAATCCCAAAGAAGCAAAAAGAAAGTTGATGTGCTTGTTTGAATTAATTAAAGTAAAATGTTGATGAGGAACATGCTGTCATTCATCTGCTGCTGCTGAAACTCTCCATTTCGGGAAGATGTGTTTAAAAAGAAAATGCAAATTTGTCCCTGGTCACTTGAAGAGAGCATAAGAATGACAGAAATGACAGCAGCTTCATACAGAGACACAGTTGACTGTGGATTAAAATTATCCCTAGGCCATGTTATTAAAATTATTAAAGGCAGATCACATAAGATCCTGAACCACTGAAGTCGTATGTTCACTGGAGGCAGATGCAACCCAGGGTGGACAGTTTCAAATGGAAGAGAAAGCCAAGGCTTTCGAGGTCCCTTCCAATCCCTAACATTCTGTGATTCTCTGATAAAATCTCTCCCTTCCCCTCTTGTTATTTCCTGCTATTGCTGATAAGCTGTAGCTGATTTTTGAATTGGTTGCAATGAGGTGATTAAAAATGGTGATAACCCATTAGCTGGACGTGATGCTGTGGCAGCAGCCAGCCGGAGCACAGCGGCAGCCAGCAATGTGGTTCCAATTGCCGCCTGCCTTTGAAATGTCACCAGGAAAGATCTATAGACAGCCCTCCTGCTATAGGCCATCAATGTCTACTCTTCCTGTTTGATTTTTATTTAACTTACTATGGGTGGATGAGTTCCCAATGAAGCTGAGGGCACTTTGAGGCCCCTTTGAAAACTGAATTATCAAATGGAATTAGAGCCCCATTCAAAATTCACCTGTTTTTCATTTCATTAATGTGTGTGCCTGCATCTGGATCCATGACCTGCACAGCTCATCAGTTTTTTTTCCCTTCATGCTACCCCTTTCATGTGCCTACCTTCCAATTTCCTCTTTTCTCTTCAGGATCACCCAACTTCCATATGCTGATACAATTTGATTTCTTCTCTCCCTGGCACTCCTGTAGCTACACAAGCATCCACTGATGCCTGTTTCTCTTGTCCTTTCTCAGTCCTGTATCAAACTTTCTCCCTTCTCAGCTGCTAGACTACAGCTGCGGTCTCAGACAACAACTCCCATTTCTGCATACAAGTCTTTGATTCCATCTTCAGAGTGGCCTTTATTGACCTTAGTTCATCAGACTACTTTTTGCACATTCAATGCAGCCTTGTAAACCACAGAAGAGTTACTATTCTCACAAAATATGCTCTGTGATCTTTTATTAATTGGCTGCATCACCTGTAAGGCTTCAATCCACCTCTTATTTTAGAAGCACATCTACATTTTGGGTTACACTAGTACACTGACTCAGGAGAGCTGAATAACATGGGCTTTGTCACTAGTATCTTAAAAAGACAGCATATATCCAGACACGTACCTTTGCATTTTGAAGAGGAGGTTGGTAACTAGAGGGCCGATAGTACCTCCTCTGAGTAGCATCAGTGTGAATGTCTCCGAGAAACAGCTCCTCCACAAGATGGTCCAAATTGTGGTGCAGGTACTGCTTCTCCACACGGATCAGCTGGAGTTCGTGCATGGCAAAATTCAAAGCTTTGGTGCATTCGCAGCCATTCTCTTCTCTCAGCAAATCGTAGCTCACATCCTGCTCCCAGGGACTATCTTCCGGTATAAATCCAGGACATGTATGGTTCACCAGCTCACTCAGTTTTTTGGCTATTGCTTCATTGTGGCATATGATCTGTATGTTGCGCAGCTGATAATCAGCTTCAGTACCCCCTCGGATGATCCAGGACGCTTGGCGGAGACGTATTTTGCCACGTATAACTAATGTGTAGATAGGGTTTGTGCAGCGGTTGCCACCGTAATAAAATTGATAGGCCTTAAAGGTATTATTGTGGTAGAACCTGTAAGATCTTGTGATGAACTCTGGGCCTGCTCTAACTTCACAGCTGTGGGAAGACAGAAAGTAACGGAAACAAAATTTTAGCAAGGTAGCACATCATGTACGCAACAGGTAACAAGACAGAGGAAACCCGCATGGGTCCACAGAGACACTTGGGTGCTAACATCCCTCTGGCATAAGTGGGAGTAAATAGGAACTTGGCATCTGTGGCCTGCCAGTTAACCAACAATTTCCCCTGCTGTCACACTGTTATTAATATACCGCTTCATGGTGATCTTATCTAAGGGCTTTATCTTTGTAGGTTTAAATACTTTAAGTCATGTTAAGCTTTTCCTTTTTGTCTGGGGACCACCATGTGACTCAGTTCTCCTCTGAAAAAAAGTAGCAGCTTATTAAACATCTATTCTTCTCTTTTGCATGGTAGATTTAGCAGAAGGACTGATAACATCAGAAAGTGAAATGCCAAACGTCCACAGAACAGTACAAAGAACTGGCTTCTACAGCTGCTGTACAAGATTCTCAGTGGTGCTCCACCAACTCTGGTTTGTAGAAGACATGCAGGATCATGTCCTCAGCTTTTGTACTCTCAACAGGGGTGGCAATTAATGCAAACTTCTGACTGTTAATGCAAAACTCCTACATGGTTTGAATTTGAACCATGAAATATTCAGGTTTTGTGGTTTTTTTCTTTGTGGGGGTTTTTGTTTGTTTGTTTGTTTGTTTGTTTTTTTCTGAAGGTGTGAATGGTGTCAAAATGCCCCAGTCTCTCCTCCTACAAGTCACTTCAAAAAAGCATATGAATATTGCCTGCTGAGACACAGAGAGCAAAATAGCTCTCTGAATTACAAGTCATCATGTATAGAGAGTAAAAGAACTGGTGAAATACAGCTTCCTAATTTCTTTTGCTAATAAAACCTATGCTAGACACACGCTCTGAAAACAAGGACCCATTCAATGGATCTAACGCATGTAGTCAAAGGTAGTACAATGTTATGTTTGAATAAGCATCCATTTTGGCAACTTTGGCTCCTTCCTATTCAAAGAGAGATTTAAAGCTATTTCACAGCATGCTGTTTAAAATCCAAACTATAAATTGATTCATCAAGACAGCTTTATAGCATGCTATTCTACCATACATAATGCTGTTTCTTCTCCTTTTATGCATAAACATAGAGAAAGCATCTGGAATTTAGAGCACCACCATATTAAAGGAAGTATTTCCCCTGCTGTTTAAAGTGGAAATACTCATCCTTCTCTCTCTGCTTCCTTCTTCTCTTCTCTTCCCCATATATCAATCATCTTGTTTTATCTTTCCTTACCCAGTAGAGACCCAGTGTCCCTCAATATTGGGAGGCATCTGCACAGTGATCCGAGCTCCATTGTGAAGGTGTTTCAGCATATGATGACACTGTGACTCCTTGAAAGCCCTCCACGCACTCTTCTCCAAAGACCGAGGGTGGGACCTGCTGTCCGAGTGAAGAAGAGCAGAACCTTCTCCCAGCCCTGTGATAGAAAAGCATAAATTATCAGGAGACAGTGCTGAGAAGGGCTTCAACACGATAAAGAAGGTTGTGAACATCTTGTGTTGAATGACACTTGTTCGCAGTGTTATGTGCCTGGGAAATTACTGTTTACATTTCTTTTCTCATCTGAAAAAAAAATTAAAAAATATGGGAATCTCTTCCTCTCTATCAGCCCACTAGTAATCTACTAAATAGATCTGCTTTACAAAATACACTGGGGAGAAGGTTGTGTTTCCACATCCAGGAGTTGTGTCTCTGAACCTGAATTTTATAGACACCTCTGTAATCTCTGGTCAGGAAAATAAAAAACTTGGACTGTGGAACTTTTAGAAAGTTGCATCCAGATCCGGACATAAACTCTGCGGTTTCAGCCCACCTCTAATTTGAACGCTTCTATAATAAACTTGCAAATAAAGACTACTGTTTAAAGCCAAGGGAAAACAGATATTAAAAGCAAAGCCTCTGCACACAGGAAGCCTCTGTGATGACTGAGGTGGTCAATTAAAGGCAGATTCTACTATTTTTGTTTTAAAGGGAAAAAGGAATTTCAAAAGCTAATTTTGTCTCCAGCACTCAGTAATTTTGGTTTCTAGTAATGTATACATACAAAACCCACCAGCACTCTCTCAACACAATATTAATTGAACAAAATGAATACATAGCTTGAGAAAGAATGCATCTTTACTCTTTTAGGCACGGCCTGCTCTTAGATATGTTGGAAAACATGGATCAAAAGAAAAACACACATATAGAGGTTAAGAGGTGACAAACATGAACCTTACATAATGGGTTGGAAACTGTATTACTTTGCCAGAAGCAATTTAAGAACCAGCAGGCTAGAAAACGAATACAGGGTGGGGTGGAGGGGCCGGTTGCGTGCCTGGGAAGTTGGGGCAGCCGTCCTGGGAGACGGATATCTTGCTACATGTGCTCCCAGGGGTGGGGTCTAGGGTTGACCCAATCTTTTCTGGTGCCCTCTTGGCTGCCCGGGTCGGGAACTGGGCTGTTGGGGATCACCAGTGCATGGTGCAATGAGCTGCCAAACACAGGACCCTATGCTTTATTCCCCAGGCCGCATCTAATGCTTAGACATGTGCTTGGGCAGCGCACAGCATTGCTACAGAAACTGCAAGAAAATCCATGTTATTTGTTTTTAGGTAGACACCGTTTCAAACCTTTGCCATTTCCTATTGGAAAAAAGAAAACAGTGTCAGTGATTCATTATGTTGGCTGTTCTTAGATCTTCCGGAAGAAACCTGGGTAGCACCTGGGAAAATGGCATTGCTAAAAATATAAATACATGTCAACTGCTTAAAAATAGCAATTCCTAAGCTGAACAAAGGCAAGGACTTATCCAGTAGGCAGGGTAAAGAATGATCAGAAAAAAATACACTAAATACTTGAATGTAAACAGCGTTCACCACTGAATGTTCTGAAGATTTAATGAGATTAATGAATACAACCTCACAAAGTCTTTACTGGAAAATCTGTTAGCTTTGTTGCAGGTTACAAATAATTCTTCCATCTGAATGAGAATTTATAGCCTTACTAAAGGGTAATAAATACTAGGGATGCTTTGATATTTGAGCACACCTTCTGAGATGCCCTTAAAGGAGCCTAATTTTCAGAGGCTCAGTACTTCTCCCTTTTTGGAAGTCAAGGCTTCTCAGACAACCATATCCTGGGCTGCATCAAGAGAAGCATGGCCAGCAGGTTGAGGGAGGTGATTCTGCTGCTCAATTCTGCTCTGGTGAGACCCCACCTGGAGTGCTGCGTCCAGTTCTGGAGCCCTCAGCACAAGAAAGACATGGACCTGCTGGAGCAGGTCCAGAGGAGGGCCACAAAAACAATCAGAGGGATCAAACAACTCTCCTATGAAGAAAGGCTGAGAGAGTCGGGGTTGTTCAGCTTGGAGAAGAGAAGGCTCCAGAGATCTTATTGCAGCCTTTCAATACTTAAAGGGGGCCTGTAAGAAAGGTGGGGACAAACATTTTAGCAGGGCCTGTAGTGATAGGACAAGGGGCAATGGTTTTAAACTAAAAGAAGGGAGATTCAGAGTAGATGTAAGGAAGAAATTCTTTATAATGAGAGTGGTGAAACACTGGCAGAGGTTTCCCAGAGAGAAGCCCCATCCTTGGAAATATTCAAGGTCAGGTTAGATGGGGCTCTGAGCAACCTGATCTAGTTAGATGTCCCTGCTCACTGCAGTGTGGGTAGACTAGATGACTTTTAAATGTCCCTTCCAACCCAAAACATTTTATGTTTTCCACATTGGTGAGCAGAGTCAATCATGGTAATGCCAAACAGCTCCCATTCTGCAGCCAGAAACCGTACGGCTGCTTCAGAAATGGTACAGCCATGGCAGGCTGACATTCTGCCTGAGCTGACTGCATCTGTGGACAGGCAGTGCTTCCTATACACAGGGGTACAGCCTCCTGGACTGAAGCCAGCATCTCTTCCGTGTCTGCAGCTCACCTCACCGGAGCAGTACTTGACACTCTTGAAAACTTTGGTTTATCTCAAAACTTGTGGGTATGGGGCAGATATCACAGGCCTCCACACTGCCAGGAGAAGAAGTTCAGACAGGTACAAGTGAACTTCCCACTCTTTATTTTTGCCATTATGAATCACAGCTAGCGACTGCCAGCTTGCCTTCTAACACTTTTCTCCATCTCTAAGTCTTCACACTCTCAAAAAGCTGACATTACTCTGGCACCTCATTCTGAAATGGAGTGACCGCTCCTGTCCTTGGGCTCAGAGCATCTTTTGGGTCAGAAGCAACACTTCCTGACAGATACCCAGTAGAGGCTGTAGCCATCAGTACTAACTCTTTCAACAGAAACATAGTTGTCAGGATGTCTCCTGAAGACAAATTATCCCACAATAAAAAAGTCTTTGAAAATTTACATTTCCACTAGAAATTGTTAAGCATTTGAAATCTGACATCAAAAGGAGGTTTTGAAATGGTTCAAGTGACCATTTCCAAGGCATATTTATTATACCATTCGCTTTTAAGCAGCTGTATTTTGCCTAGCTCATGTCATATGATTAATGAATACAGGCGCACTTAAAAATGAATGATTTATTGATTTAAACATACCCGGGCATTTAATTTCTCCAAGCAAAAATCCTTCTGTGGGAGGATACCATCTTATATATGCACATATCAAAGGAGAAAATGCAGTAACCACATTATACATTCTCAATTATTCCCTTGAGGAAATAATGAAAAGAAGGGGTTTTTGAAAAGGAGTCTAACTTTTTGTGGTATTATACAGTGTCTTTTCTTTGATATAGCTCGAAAGCAGTGGGGTCCCAACTCTCCCTGTCACATGTATGTAGTTCTGTCTACAACTTGGAAATGACAAACTGTTAACTAGTGGTTGGAAGGGAGATTTGCATCCTTAGCCCCACAGAGCAGTATCTGCAGGGAGGATATTTGTTTGGGACTCTGTCCATCAAACTGTGACAAATGAGGACAGGAACAAGTTTAGGTAATCAAGACAGGCATGAGAACATAATGAAGGCTGCAGAGACAGAGGAAGGGATGCAGAAAACACAGATGTGCTAGGCAACATCAGATAAATAGGACATGAATATCAGAATATAAATTATGGTATAAAATTAAAAGGCAGCGATAGGACCTTTACCTATGTTTGTGTTGCTGGGGCAAGGAAATAGTTTAGCACAGGCTCCTTCCTTAGCAAGTAATCATGTCAACACCTGTATATTTACTGACATACGCCTGTACATATGACTACCATAAGAAGGAGCCATAACTTCCCCTTGTACCATCTGCAGATGCACCAGGACCGGTGATACGCTTCCCACACAGGGCAGTAAACTGAACACTGTCCTCCTGTGCTTTTCCTCACAGCAGGTGCTTGGCGACAGCACCGTGGCCCTCCTCCTTGTGCACTGGGCAGTGCACAAGGAGTTGTTCTGCAAAACCAAGGTCCAGCATGGAGGATGTCAATAATTCTGAAAGATCCATTTGGCCATGTTAAGCGGGACATTGCTGGATGGCTCAGGGTTAAAATACTCTTTCACAAAACTGCAAGAAGAATTTAATGGCTTTTTAAAAGCCCACTTTGGAGCCTAGATGCAACATAGTCGGACTACTACTTTAATTCAAAGAGATCCAAGTCTGCTATTCTGTACAGCACAGAGAGATGGTAGGCTTCAGTACCTCCATGACAAGCCATGCAAGTACCTTGGACTCAAAGAAGAGTATTGCAGACTTGCTCTGACTTAAATTTTTGTTTGTTACAAAGGAATCTTACCCGCTTTCTAAAAATAAATAAAGAAATAATTAAAATCCACAATGTTATCACTCCAAAATGTGGCAGACTTCAAACAAAAAACAATCTTTGCATGAGACTAACTGCAATAATTCTGTGAAGCCTCTGGTTGGTTTTCACTTTAGCTACACCACAACCAGAGGCTGTAAGATTCTACCACCCAACACCCACCCCATGGTGGCTGTTTACATGAAGGAGGAGTCGAAAAGGAGAAGGAAAATTCCAGAATCTATCAGAAATGCCAGCTAGAAAAGCAAAACAAAAGAAATGCATTTTCTGATAAGTTGATATCCAAATTCTCTTTCATAATCAAGCCCTAGCAAGTGTAGATCACAGCTTTAGCATCATACTAATTGAAAACAGTATAAGGGGTGCTACAGCTAGCTGGGGATCCCTGCCCAGGCCTTCCCAGATCACACTTGACCAAGGCAGACGCAACATCCATCTAAGTGGGAAAGTGGAGGTCTTCACAGCTGCCACTCCAGTAAGACGTGGATAGGAGCACGCACTACACCAGACAGGGGATTTCAAGTTCTCAGGTTCACCTATAAACCTGTATCTGATGTGGGAACAACCATCCAAGATAAAAACAATTGTTAAAGGAAGATAGGTTACTTTCAAGTTCTTCAAAGATTTCTGCGCATAGCTGCAAGTAAAATACAAATCTTAAAAGGGCAATCAGTTGGCAGCCCGTTACCCAAACATGTTTCAAAAATGGCTATAACAAAGCCTTCCGCCAACATTTCTGCAAAAAACTGCAAGCTGCTGGAATAAATGTTTCAGTTTTCTGAAAAACAGTATGCAAATAATGTACAATTGCAACACAGATAATGATAAGTAGAGTTGTGTTCGAACACAAATTCTTGTAACAATTCGTGCCTAAACACCTTGGCCAAATTCTCTTCTCAGCTATGCCAGACTGCAAAAGTATAATGCTAATAATGTTAAATCTTATGTTTAGATTTAATCAGTTTAATGAACACCTTTAACAGAATGTAAATCGTGGCTCCAAACATGATCTAGTTGAAGATGTCCCTGCTCACTGCAGGGGTACTGGACTAGATGAATTTAAAGGGTCCCTCCCAACCCAAATCATTCTGTTTCTATGAAACACGTCCAAGGGCAGCGCACCAAACCAGACTCAAAGCTATTAGGTGTTCAGCA